CAGAACTTAGCGGGAGTGTTTACGTGTTCGGCGTAATGACGTACAACGGCCTCGACAATTTCTGTAGTCCTATTCAGCCACTCGGTAACAACCATCGTTTTTCAGACACGTAAACTCTTCAAAAATCCCCAGTGGGGTCACTGCTGATGTATTTAATGTCGTAGAACAAAACGTCAATTACCTCTTAAATTTGTGTCAACCACAGACCTTATTTCGAGCTATTTTCCAAAACCCGATGGAAAAAATGCATTGCTTTTTGAGGAAGGAACCGGAAGTGCTAAAAATGCTAACTTACTTCCGGGTTTTACGACGCGTCACTGCGGCTCTCTATACACTGTATGTGATTCTAAACAACCAATCACCTGTACACAGGTTCTGGCCCTCATCCAATGAGAGGAGGGGTCAAACAGCAGCTGCTCTACTGCCGTGTTGGGATTGGCTACCATCTCCAGATTCTGCCCAGTGGCTCTGTAGGAGGGGTCCACAAACCCACCGAGCATTGTGAGTTAATCACTGCCATGTGTCAAAGTGACAACTGTTAAAAGCTGCTTTCTATATAATGTTTGCAGATTGCTTGCTTATACATTCATATTTGAGACTGAGTGCTTATGTGAAGACTATCTGTGATGCATCCATCCCTCATTTCTCTGTCTCCTCAAGGTTGGCTGAAGGTGTTTGCGATGAAACATGGAGTGGTGGGGGTCAGAGGCGTGAAAAGCGGCCTGTACCTCTGCTTGAGTGCAGAGGGGCTGCCGTATGGAGCGGTATGTAGCCCACCGCACACTCACACATCTCACATTACAATGTGATGCAGAACCAAGTCTGTTACATAGGAATCCATTTAGACTTTCCCCACTCTAATATATGACAGGGCTGCATAAAATCAGATATATTAAATGTGTCTTTGACTTCTCTTTTGCAGGAGAAGTTTTCTGACGAGTGCCTGTTAAAGGAGAACCTGGAGGAGAATCACTACAACACCTACTCCTCCCTCTCTCACCCTGACATCTACCTGGCTCTTTCCCATAAAGGAGCGCTCCGGAGGGGCAACAGTGTGGGCCGCCACCAGTCCTGCACCCACTTTCTACCCCGGAGAACAGGCTGATCAGGGTCCAGCTTCCTCTCAGTTGGGGGCAAATTAGGAATATGGTTGCCAACATTGTATCTTCAGCTGGTGAAAAAAGCAACAGTGTAGAAATTCCACATGGCAGCTGGGCTTAAGACTGCAACATGCAAAAAGTAAAACTGGTTCCACATCCAAGAGACACAATGAGCGTGATTGTGTGATACCTATTTCCTGTAGGTACGAACAGTGAACTGAGACCCTCACACTGCAACCTCTCTGCCTGCTGAGACCTGACCGTCTGAGCAGCACCATCACTGCTGCTGGCACTAAACAGGAGTCAGGCGATTTCATGCACAGGATGAGTCTTCTGAAGCGCAAGAGTGCAGAACTGACACCTTTTAAAGGAGCGTGACTGCCTCAGTCCTTTCCTGCTGATCAGTATTTCTGTATTAGGATCTATGACTTTGTGTGATGTGGACAGGGAGCTCTGTGAAGCTGTCCACTAAATGTGCTGAGTTGGGTTCCAAATAAGTGAAGCATTGTTCGCACAAAATCATTTGTAGCAATAATAAGAATGGTCTGTATTTTAAAAGTATTGATGGATGGTAAAGCGACAGTGGCAGCTTTTATACAGCATCGGTTTCGACCATAGTCAATCTGCACATTATTTATCATGAACATTTTGTTTCTGAAGTATTTGTTTATTTATTTATGTTTTATAATGCATTGCAGACTGTGATGATAAATGAAATATATATATTTGTATAATCATATTGTGTTTAAGTAGTCTGTATCAGATTGTATTGGATGATTGGAAATTAAAAAACTGTCATTTCTGAAGAAGCTCGCTAAGTGTATATATACAGTATATATAAAGTATGAGTCAAAAGTGTGGACACACCTTCTCATTCAATGGTTTTTGTTTATTTAAATGTTTTTCTACTTTGTAGATTAATACTGAAGACCTCAAAACTTTGAAAGAACACATATGGAATTATCTAGTTAACAAAAAAGTGTTAAAAAATCCAGAATATGATTTTTATTGTAGATTCTTCAAAGTAGCCCCCTTTTGCCTGCGTGAATCAGGCCTTCATGGTCCAGTCGCTGCAAAGGTCCACTACTGAGAAGGAACAACAAGAAGAACAGAATTGTTTGGGCCCAGAAACACAAGGAATGGATAGACAGTGGAAATCTGTACTTTGGTCTGATGAGTCCACTTTTGAGATTTTTGGTTCAAACCTCCGTGTCTTTGTGAGACGCAGAGAAGGGGAGCGGATGGTTTCTGCATGTGTGGTTCCACCGTGAAGCATGGAGGAGGAGGTGTGGGGGTGCTTTTGCTTTGCTTTGCTGTCATTTATTCAGAATTCAAGGCACACTTAACCAGCATCACTAACACAGCCTTCTGCAGTAGCCAGCAAAATATAAATCATATTCTGGATGTTTTAACACTTTTTTGTTTACTAGATAATATTCCATGTGTGTTCTTTCATAGTTTTGATGTGTTCAGTATAAATCTACAATGTAGAAAAAATGTAAATAAAGAACTTGGAATGAGAAGGTGTGTCCAAACGTTTGACTGGTAGTGTATTAGCCAGGCTAACCAGCTTACTTACTGTTACGCTCTCCGGGAGTTTACAGGATTGAACTCACAATGCTGAACACTAGGATGAGGAGACAGATTTTATGTGGTAAAAAAGGTTTATTCACCAACAAAAACCTTCAGGAGACAAAAAGAGGGATAAGATGTTCACTTAATCCAGGGCCAGGGTTTATCACCAGCGGAGAAGCACGGAGGTACGCTGGCGAGATGAGCCGAGGATTCTGAGCTGGCGAGAGTTACCCGGTTGGAGCTTGTGTACGTGGAAGCATGGGGAAAACACCGGCGAGGAGAGCCGGGGATCCAGAGCCGGCGAGAGTAGAGTAGACAGGCTTGAGCCGGTGTGCGTGGAAGCACGGAGGAACACAGACTAGAGGTTGATGGCTGGACGTGGCAAGCAGAGGAGTAGGCAGAAGGATACTGGACAGAGAGAGCACAAGGTAAGGATTACAAGAACACAGAGAGTATAGTTTAGCTACAGCTAATTTACCAAGTCGTATTACCAGCGTGGTGAAACGACGAACTGGTGAATACTGGATGGAGGAACCGGGTATATATGCAGGTGAAGGTGAACAGGGACTTGAGAAGAAGAAAGGCATTGTTAGCATCTGTTGTCCAGGAAAACTTGACTTTGACAGAAGTGAGACTGGAGAGTGGAGCTGCTACCTCGCTATAGTTCTTGATGTAACCGGCGATAGAAGTTGGCAAAACCCAGGAACCCTCTGCAGCTCCTTCCGAGTTGTGGGGACTGGCCAATCAGAGACAGCTAGAATCTTTCCTGGATCTGCCTCCAACTTGCCTTGCTTGATGATGTAACTAAGAAAACTGACTCGTTCCTGATGAAACTCGCATTTCTCAGCCTTGACGAACAGCTTGTTCTCAAGCAGCCTCTGTAGAATCTGACTGACGTGGTCCTGATGTTCCTCCAGGCTCTTGGAAAAGATCCAAATGTCATCGATGTAAACAAAAACGAATCGATTGAGGAAATCTCGTAGGACATCATTTACAAGGGCCTGGAAAACAGCTGGGGCATTAGAGAGTCCAAAGGGCATGACGAGATATTCAAAGTGACCAAGGGGGGTGTTGAAGGTTGTCTTCCACTCATCTCCTTGGCGAATTCGAACCAGGTGGTATGCATTTCTGAG